TTGACTGGGGTTATTTTCCCTGGAGCGTTGGAGGCTTAAGGGTGACTTTATAGAGGTTTCTAAGTCATGAGGGGCATGGATAGGGAAAAATAGAGAAGGTCTTTTCCCTGGGATGGGAGAGTCCAAAAGTAGAGGACATAAATTTAAGGTGAGAGGGTAAAGATTTAAAAGGGACTTACGGGGCAATTTTTTTCATGCAGAGGGTGATGCGTATATGGAATGAGCCACCAGAGAAGGTGGTGAGGGCTGGTACAATGATAACATTTAAAACGCATCTAGATGGGTATATGAATAGGAACGGTTTAGAGGGTTATGGGCCAAATGCTGGCAAACAGGACTAGATTTATATACGAAATCTGGTCAGCATGGATGCGTTGGACCGAAGGGTCTGTTTCCGTGCTGTATATTTCAATGACTCTATGTGGCATATGCATGTTATGGATGATTGATATTTTGCTAGTGGCACCTCATTTCATATATTTGAGTATAGCTGAGCTAAATCTGTGTTTTGTAAGGGTTTAAACTTGCTTTTTAAGGTAAGGTTTTTAGGTTTTTAATTGAAAATGGAAACTTGGAGGTCGGTCAACTTTTCAGTTTGCCATCAAGCTGAGAGTAGGAAGCAATGATTTGAATGCTTAGAGATTTGGCCTGGATTTCATTTGGCTTAGTTTTGATGTTAAGCTGTTAACTCATGATTTGTACAAGTACATCGGTGTTTTATCTATTTTATTAAATAGAGATTTGATTGAAAATTAATTGGGGTGAAATTTCAATGCATGTACTTGTGTTAGGAATTAAGTAATAATGAGAATAATGTTCTATCAGAAATGCAATGTGTGCCATTAGTATTCCTGTCAGAAATATCTTGGGCAATATTTTGCTGCTGATTTGCTGACAAGAAATTACATTGACATCACATTTATATATGTGATTTATATGTGTTCTTAAGACATGTAGACCTTGCATCATATTCTGTTTTGTATTAAAAGAGCAAATTGTGAGTAAGGTGTATGATTTCTATTAATATTATTTATTTTAGGCTTTAGATTCTGAACTGGTAGCACATGGATTTTAGTCTGTCTGTATGAGAAGGTTTAGTAATTAATTTTGCAGTCTTTATTGGAGCCATGATTTTTAAATTAACGTCTCTCAGAGAGTTGGTGACGATATGGGCAGTTAGAAGTGCTAACATGAGTTTGTTTAAATTGAGAGATTTTTGTGATCATAGAAAGCAACCATTGAAAGGCATTTGTTTGCTTTTGGTTCAGCGTAATCACAATTTTTTTTGTTTCGGGGAAAAGTAACTCGGATTGGAAAGCTTTGAAGAAGTTTGCAGAAGACTGGGGTCAGATGTTAGACCACTTTCTCCTGGAGAAGGGAGTTTGTTCAGAAATGTTAGGAATAGCTTACTTCAGTGTAAGGGTTTTCATTTGAAAATTCCAGACCAGAGGTGTTTGGTTAAGAAACCTGAAAGGTTGATTTGAAGCTAAGAAAGATTAAGCTCAGTTATGTAAATAATCAAGGAACAGGCTAACAAACTGTCAGCTGGGAATTGAAACAGTTAAGTCAAACTTACGGATGTGATAGAAAAGGGAAGTTTCTCTCTGGCATTTGAGTATTGTAAAATAATGCTGTTGAGAAGAGATGTAATTGAGTTTGCTGTGTGTTTTGAAATCTTTGAAACAGTGTTATCTGTAAATAACTTGGTTTGTTTTATTTTATCTTTGTTCCTTTTATGTAATAAACTCTGCCTTATTGTGCATTGTTTACTTACATTTCAGTGAGAAATCACCAGATTAAATAAGCAAAGACCAAATATAATCTACCAAGCCAAACTTCAATTTTGGATCTGCCTTGTCCAGTAATAATATCAGTGGGATAGAACAATTATATGATGTTAGCTATCACCATGGATTAATTCCAATCATGCAAAAACAATGTGCAATTATATTGCTATCTGGGCAGTCAGTATAGCACATGGAAGTTACATAAAAGTGAAATTGACGTAGAAAGATCTTTTTCTACCTGATGTACACCATTGCAATCAAATCATTGAAACAGACAGCAGACTTCGAAGTCATGATTTATTGACTTGAAAATGGATTTGTGTTTTATTTGCAATATATTTTTTGTTTCCTTCTGTTCTTTTTCTATTTTTATCTCCACAACAATGTTTGTATTAAGGAAGGTAGGTATAAGATTTCTTTTACACAAATGGTTTCAAGGACATTACCACAAATAAACCACCACACCTTGCAAATTAGCCTTTCCTCTCTCTATGATAAGGAAGGACTTCAGGACATCCCAAAATGTTTTTAAGCCAATGAAGTTCTTTAATCTGTAGTCACTGTTGTGATGCAGGGGCCAATTGTTCTTCACTTTATTCATCCCTCTACTAATGCTGTATTTAGATATACAATTGGCTTCCTCGAGCAGTTCTCAATACCGACTTCCATATGTGTAATCGTAGAAATCACCTTTTTTAGATTCTCCTTTCGCAGCCTTTATTCACATAGTTACAGTACAACTGCAAGCTGGCAATGACTGGAACCTACTCCAGTGACTGTGGAAAGCTCATGCAATTAGGTGGTTCAAATAGTTCTCGTTGCCTAAAATGTAGGTGCATTAAAAGTAAAGTGCTAATTTGTTTAGCATTTATCTTGCTGTCAGTGGCAACACTGTCATTTCTAGCATGGATTGAAAGCACCTGCTTGGCTGACACACACTACTTTTGGCAGAAGATGCACTCTTATTTATATTGGTAGATTTGGAGTGGAGCTGCAGAGAAGCTGAACGTGAAAGTACTGCAGTTTCTTCTGTGAGGATCGGAGATGTGACCTTGTGTTCTTCTGTTTAGAAGCAAAAATATAGAAATCTGCATAATGGTTGGTTAAGACTCTCTTCCATTGCTTCCCAGTTTTGCTAATTGGATACATTGCCAGAAAATGCCTTGCCCATCAACATTGGTAAGCTGGAATGCTGAAAGATGTGTATTTTATTTGTAAACCCTTACATTCTTCTTACTTGCTTTCTAAAACATGAAATGACTCCATTTCTGTGATAACTGCGGTAGGTTTACTACAGGGAAACTGAATAAGTGCAAGATGGAGACTAAACAGCAGTTTATAGGGTAGATGGTGAATGCTAGGGCAAGTATGGTGCAGAGCATAAACATCGCACAGGTCTGTCAGGATGAATGACCTTTCTCAGTGCTATAAAACTCCATGTATTTTGTGTAAGAAAGTCAGAATAACAACTTGAATTTCTTGTTTGTAGACTTTTCTCAGAATATGGGTGTGGACTAGAAATGTAGTCATTGCACTGCTGGCCTTTTTGAATTGGCTGATAAACACTCTGGCTGTGATTAGGAAATATTACAACCCTGTAATGGCATGTTTATATTTCTGAATCAGTGATTGATAGGAGGTTGTTCTTTTGCCACAGGTGGCAGTAACGTCGCTTCATATTACTGTTCTAATAATATTATTATTGGTCATGATGCTAGATCTGCCAGCACACACTGTTATTATTCCACTGAAATTGACACAACCTAAGAGTCAAAACACGGACAGAATATTGTGAAAATCCAGAAATGTTAGTTATTGGATGCCTCTTCAGTGGATACACTCTTCAGCTACTCTGACAGCGCAACCTAGTAAACATCCTGTGAATTCACAAGAACTCCCAATGTTCCACTTTAGTATCATTGGAAAAACCCTAGTTTTAAATGACATACCAATTTCATAATTGCTGCTGAAAACCTCTATTGGCCTTGATTTTTCATTTGCAGATAACTAATTTTTTCTGCATTAAACAACAATCCACTTTTGTTTGCTTTTGGTAATGGCTGGGCTAATAATTACTCTTTAAGGGCAGCATTTTATGATACAATCTTGATACTAATTGACGTCTTTCATTTCTGCAGCTACAAACTTCCTGTTTACTCCCTGCTAAGTAAGACAGTGTTTACACATTTTTTATTCCAAAATGCAAATACCTATTAACTTGTCATTTGATAAACTTATCTTTGCTTGCAAAGTTAACTGGATGTTTACAGAAGTGTTATTTATTGCAATATTTCATTAATTTCTGAGATTCCCACCTCTGGCACGTTCGAAGTTTTTTAACATACATGAAAATCGTTTTTGTTGCTCAGTAGCAGCAGTGTGTATGATCTAAAAGATGCACTAGAGAAATTCACCAAAGATCCTTAGATAGCATCTTCAAAACTCATAACCACTTGCGTCTAGAAGGACAGCAGATACATGGGAACACCACCACCTGCAAGACTCCCCCCAAGACACTGACAGTCCTGACTTGGAAATATTTCACCGTTTCTTCACAGTTGCTAGGTCAAAATCCTGGAATTCCCTCCCTAACGGCCTTGTGGGTAAACCTGCAGAATGTGGACTGCAGAAGTGCAAGACGGCAGCTCACCATCATCTCAACGGCAACCAGGGGCAAGCTGTAAATGCTGGCCAGTCAGTGATACTCGCGTCTCATGAATGGATTCAAAACAAGTCATGGTATATCTCAAAAGCAAATGTATTTAGGACTGTGATTAATTTGACTTAATTTGTAGATGTCAGATATACAACAATATAGCTCAGCTGATTTTTTTTGGCTACTTCCCTTCAGCTTGCTTAACTATTTGAGTGTTTATGGTAGTTCCCTGATAAGTTTAAACTAAAAACAATTTGCAGAATCTTTCGTTTAGTTTATTGTTAGTTTACTTTAAACCTGCAGAATATGTCATGTATATTTTCACCTTGAACTTTATTTGGTTCCATTCAACTGAATGTTTTAGCTTACAGGAATGGTCATTGCATTACATCTGTTTTTACGTAAGCATATAATCCTAATGATATTGTTCCTATGTCAAAATAATTAAATTGTTAAACATTCACTGTCATTTTCATTTAAACAAATTGAACAGAATGAAAATAGCTTTGAGTAGTTTAAAATGATTTTTCTCTTTTATTTCTCCATGACCTTTTAAGTAAGTAATTCAGAAGGAGGAACGATGATGTCTGAAGAAAAAGGCTGGCAGGCTGTGCCAATCAAAATTGAAAGAATGGATGAAGAAGCTGAATCAAGCAGTGCAGCTGATGTGCAGGACTTCGATATATATAGTGCCATGGAATGGAAAAATGGAGTGGGTATCTTGCCTGGCAGTGACCTAAAGGTATGTATCTTTAACTTGAGCTTTTAAATTTTCTAGTCTTTCATTTCCCCTTCAAATTTCTGCATAGAATAATTATAGTGACAATAAGCTTTCATCTTCAGAAAAAAAACACAACCAAATATACAACGATCATTCAACAAACAGAGTACGTGTATGTAGCAAGTTAAAGTTAACTTAAAAAAAAAACCCACGTTTTTGTATTTATTGCCAAGATTATTCAGCTAAAATACAGTGGTATTGAGTCAGGAAAGAGGTTTGTTCGGGTTTTATTGGAACTGTTGAACATCTGTTGCACTGTCTGGAAGTTGTCGACATGGTAGCAGTAGCTGCTGTTGCTTCTGTAGGAGATGTACTTCTTTGGGATGTCACACTTGTCTGTCTTGTGCCATTGTCACATATCTACCGTAGCTTGTCTGCAATTGCCCTGTAATACCCATCATCCAACTACGCCAAGGCTGACCCCTCTTCCTGTCCAACACTTTACTCTCAAGAATCTGTAGCTTTTCAGCTCTGAACAAATACATTTTCCTTTTTGGATGTCACATTTTAGAGTTCTTCTTGCTCTTGACATTTCATGATTCTTATTGTCCTAACGTGAATTTTTAACCCGCTGTGTCTGAATTTTAAATGCCCCTATTTTCTTTCATAGATCTTCACCTGTTGTCCAGGTGGCACCAGACTGTGGTGATAGAACATTTTCCATTGTATCTCCCTAGATATATGTGACAATAAATCATTCGTTCATTCAGGTTTCAGAGACATACATGAAATTGAATGAATTTAGCACCGTGTATTTTTTGCCTTGTTACCAGGTTGAAGTTACTTTTCAACACATCCTTCATCGTCACATAATTACATAATTGCATCTTTATCCTTCTTTTCACTCAAACGTCACATCTGCAATCTTCTGGAAACATTTGTGCTAAATTGACAAACTCATCTATTTATTCCAATGTAACCCCATGTGAATTTTCATTTATTTTTCTAATGTATTCTAACTATCATTGTTTTGTCTTATTGATGTTCATGCTTAATCCATTTTCAAAATGTTCAGATTTTGTTTAATCAATGATAATTTGCCAGGCCTTAATGATTCAGGAAGGAATGCTGAGTTGAAAGCGCATTGCAAGTTTATGTTCTTGCCTCCAACTCTTTGTCCTGCAAATGCATCAGATTCTTTGAATATTTGCACTGTGTACAGATTAAGTTAATTTGGTGATAGTACAAAGCCTTGTTATATGCCTCTCTTTGCTTGAAACAGCAGCAATGACAGCATGATCACTGCCAACCATTCATTGACCCATAACACATTGCAATTCCTGACAAATAAACTTATTTATTATTTAAATGATTTAAAGTTGGGGTCAAAGAGCTAGATGCCAGCAACTTTGGGTCTGGCACTGAAGGTGATTAGGAGCTGTACATTTGCATCATTGTGGTTTAAACTTAAAGCTTGGCTTATTTGTAAGACATTTTTTGTGATTAACTCTGAACTTGGTGATTTACAGGAACTGTTAATTGTCATGCCATAGGACTATCGTTGGGAAAATGATCTTAGTAGCTATACCTAATATTTGGCTCTAAAACAATTAGAACTAAATATCCCTGGATTCAAGGTGTTCAGGAAAGTATTTTGAAGGAAACATAGAGAGAATAGCCAGAGGTAGTATCCTAGATGGGTCAAAGAGTAAATGTTGGTTTGAATTAAAAATAACAGCAAGGAGAGTGTATTCTATAGGTGACCAAAAAATGAAAAAGCATATTTTGGAACAAACCTATAAGGAAATTGCAGAGAGGTGTGAGAAGTATAGGGCAACAATAATGGTGGATTGCAAATATGCTGTGATAGATTGGGATAATAATAGCGTGAAGGGGAAAGAGGAACATAGAACAGTACAGCACACAACCAGGTCCTTCAACCCATTTGTGCCGATTTATGATGCATTCTAAACTAATCCTACCTGCCTGCACATGGTCTAGATACATCTATTCTCTGCCTGTTCATTTGTCTTTTTAAATGTCTCTTAAACGTAGTGATCACTTTTGCTTCTCCAGTCTCCATTGATTGTGTCAGTGCACCTACCACCCTCTGCGTAAAAGACTTGCCTTGCACATCTCTTTTAAACTTTCCTCCTCTCACCTTAAGCCTATTCCTCATAGTCTCTGACATTTTCATCCCGGGACTCTGACTATCCACCTATCCAGGCCTCCCATAATTTTATGAACTTCTCTCAGGGCACCCCTCAGCCTCCGATGTTCTAGTGAAAGTAGTCCAACTTTGTCCAAACTCTCCTCAAAGCTAATACGCTCCAATCCAAGCAACGTCCTCTTTTTAGAGACAGCACAGTGTGGAGCTGGAGGAACACAGCAGGCCAGGCGACATCAGAGGAGCAGGAAAATTGGTGTTTTGGGCTGGGGCACTCCCCCCAACATCTTCTCCTTCACCCTTTCCAAAGCCTCACATCCTTCCAATAGTGCTATGACCAGATTTACACACAGTACTCCAAATGTGGCCTAACTCAAGCGTGAAGCTTGTTTAGAAAATAGATTCAAAATCGTAATATGTAATTTTTTTTTGCCCACAAATGTTGAGTTTTGTTGTTAGTTATTTTTTGGCGCAGATAGGCGATTTCACAGATACAGAGGATTTACTGTATATAACAACTTCTTGACTGTCACTGAGTCAAAGTCCTGGAACTCCCTCCCAAACAGTTTTGTAGGTGTTCCAACACAAAATGAACGGCAGCGATTTAAAAAGATGGTTCACCATCACCTTCTCAAGGAAAAATCACAATGGGAGTAAATGCTGGCAAAGCCTGTGATGCCAACATCCCATGAATGATTTTTTAAATATTGGCATTTTCTGTGCTGTGATTTATGTGAAGTATTGCTCAGTTCACAGTGGTTGCACTTCTTAGATGATGCATTCAAGCTTCATTGCAGGATTTGAACTCATAACTTAGTCTTCACTTCAATGCCATTCTGAGGAACTGCTGGAGTGTCAATGATTCTGCCCTTGGAAGCTGGTGCAGGCTGTATTTTTCACTAAATGTTGAATGTCTAATGGCAATTTCCAATGAAGAGAAAGGGGTTATCTCAGTTTGTTTGGCCAGCATTCTTCCCATAAACACCAGCACCGAAACAGAGCAAGATTATCTGGTTACTCACTGCTTTCTGGAAGGTCTTCCATACATATTAGCAATCGTAACATTATTTCCGAGCAAGTTCAAATGCTTGGAGATATTTCTTAGGAATACAGCATAGCACTCCTACAAAAAAAGACATTTTTATTTAAGGGGCTAGCTCATAACAGTGCCAAAATTATTTTGTGTTACACTTTTCTGCTTCCATCTTCAATGCAGTCTATTGCTGTTTTAAAATGAATTCCTGCGGTATTGAGCAATGAACAATAAGTGTTACGTATGTGCAACGTCTTTGTGTTCTTCCTACAACTTACTGTCTGACTTAACTTTGTAGCTTCAGCAACCTTGGATATATCACTTTGGTCCAACTGTTTAAATCCTTGACCTAGATTGTAAGTTTAGACCACTTAGTTGTAGAACAGTTTTAGTAAAATGCAACTCAGCAGCACTTGAAGGAGAATATCTAACCTCAGCACCTTCAGGCAAGTAGATATGGGCAGTAATTGAACATCACCAGTATTGAGACTACTCTTCTTCCAACCAAGCTGTGCCGGCATTTCTGATATGTTTCTGCTCGCTTCTGGGAATTGTGGTGGTTATTAAGATGGCGATTGGCAGTGGAAATTATTCTGTTCACTCTGCACTCACACAGGATTTCTAGCTCAGTGATAGCTTTAAACTAAAAGTGAATTCAAGTGTTCTCAACAATATACTTAGTGCTCTGAGAAGCAGTGTGCAAAAATATTTCACTGAGCTCCAAGCTGGGTAATGCCACCAATTTAGAGAAATGGTTCAGTTATAAATTATTTGTTGCCATCTGAGACTTGTTTTTAATGATAGCTTTCTCTTTTGGTTCCTGAGCAAGTGAAGAGAAGCTGCATTCTCTGGCAGAAATGGACGTTTTTAAATATCTTGCTTGCTCCTGCACATCTCCTTACAATTTTCTCATTTCTTGAAGGTTGTGGTTCATACAAGGGTACAGTTACATAAGAACCAGCAACCGTACAATAATTCTCTATTATTTGCAAATACACAGAATCTCAGGCTATTTGCCTCCCTGGTCCAGATAGATGCTTCTGCTCAACTCTCTCACTCCAATTACCTCCTTCAATTCAACTCCTCCATCCCTTTATTTTCTTTTCCCCGATGTCGTGCTTTCCTTTAAATACTTTGTTGCTCCCTGTGTGTTTCCTTTCATAATGACCTCTCCTCCCTGTGTGAAGACAGTACTGTGTGTGCGCTGGGAGGTTGCTTTAATTTTTTGGGGAGGAATGAGGTAGTGGTGGAGTGGGGAATGTCTTCACGAAGACTGAAATAATTCTTATTCGGTCTCCGTTCTGATGCATGTTTCAAGGAAACGATTGGAATTGCAAATGTACAAGAACATTTTTCTTGTTCTCTAATCTGGATTTATTGAGGCCAAACATAATGTTTAAAAACTGAGATTACTCAACAATGAAAATATCTGGGACACCAGATGTGAGGCTGGGAGCACTTTGACGCTGGAAAGGGCAGCTGTATAGTGCGTTGCACTTGTTGGTCACGCACAAATCAAAATCAGCATCCCTGTTTTTATCTCGTGCATTTCTTTTTTCTTTCCCAGAACAGTGCTTAGCCATTCTGATCCCATATCAATGCTTGAAAATGATCACAGGCTGTTTGGTGAGATCTGAGAGAGCTGGGTTTGGAGGAGTAGGGGAGAACGTGGGGACCTTCACGGAGTTGGTGGTGGAGTGGGCAGGCCAGTGAGCATGGGGACCTGTTGGAGAGAGACAACAGTTGGTTAGATCATGCCAACCTTGTAGCTGGAGACTGCAAAATTCCAGTTCATTTGGGTTTCTGTCTCCAAGTCTGGGA